GCTCTTAACCACTTTGCCCATCTCTCCAGCCCTCGGCATTAAATATTTTATAGTAACAGGTTAGACTACAGGTATCCTGTGATCTGTTGAGAGGAACATCATTGTTTTTACTATGTATTTATTTAGTGCAACAGTCCAGAATTATTTTGATAATGCCAGTATTTAATTGGTTGTATGTAAAGTTTCTTTGATACATTATATATTAAATTAGATGTCAGGAAAAGTTTTGTGTCCAAAACCACTTACTCATTTTGTTGAACTTTAGGAGTCACTTATGGTGACATACTCTAGAATTAGCTTTTTAATAAGGTTATTAGAAAGGGTGGAAGCCTTGTCTAGAAGGCCTCTTTGTGCATAGGCACCCTCAGTGGACTGAGGGTGTAACTGAAGCTCTAGGATTGGTCCTCAGCACCACGTAAACCAGGTACTCAAGGAGGTGGAGGCAGGAAGATAGTCGGTCAAAGTCATTTTCAGCTACATAAGAGATAGCTTGGAATATAGTAGAACCTGTCTAAAAACAAGACAAAAACAAAACAAAAAACCCATTATGCTTAGAGAGACTATATCAATTGGCAGTGCAAGCATGCATATGTAATAACAATGATAAAGGAACGGAGACTTCACTACAGATTTGGGAAGCCATCTGTTGATACTCATTGCACAGTACCACACCTTCACCATCACCTTAAATGGCATCTGAGAACATCCCTAGCTTCTGCATATATTGAAGATAAATTGACCTGAAACAGACAGTGACTGGAGAATAGGTGAAGTACTTTTTCTGTGTTTTAGCCAGTGACTCATTGAGATTTTGCTTTGTGTAGATGCTACTGGGCTGTAAGCAAGTGAATTATGCCTATTTGGCAGTCCTTTATTTGTTCATTTTTGGAGCACCTATTCTATACTAGACCCTATTCTAGGAGCTAAGAATACAGTGGTAGGCAATACAGATACCATCCATGACCTCAAAGAGTACAGTTGTTAGTGAAAAAGACATTATAGAATGCAAACATATAAATGTCCACTTGCAGCTTGAGCTAGTTCATGATTAATAACAGCTGCTATCTTATAACCATGAGGTTAAGATCACTTTAGAGCAGTGGTTCTCAACCTTCCTAATGCTTCAACCCTTTAATACAGTTCCTTATGTTCTGGTGACCCCCAACCATAAAATTATTTTCATTGCTACTTCATAACTGTAATTTTGCTAGTGTTATGAATTATAATGTAAATATCTGACATTAAGGATATCTGATATGTAACCCCCCCAAATGAGTCATGACCTACAAGTTGAGAATCACTGCTTTAGATCATGCACTCTTCAAAGGCCTTTAAGAACAAGTAGATGAGTGGGCTTTAGCCAAGTCAGGATTGGAGCACATGGAGATTGGAGAGGACAGTGTTCTGAAACTTCTCAGGATGGGGGTGACAGCTGGGAGTAAGTGGGCACACTTGAAACTCTGAAACAGGCCTCTGTGGGATGCAGAGAGGGAAGAAGAGAGTTGCAGAAGATGAAGTTGAAAAATTGGAAGGGCTTCCTGGCATGGGGATAACCATATTTTGCAAGTTCTGAAGTCCTTAAGTCTCCTGAGAAAAAAAATAAACAAACAAACAAAAAAACAAAAAATTATTCAGTGTGGAAGCTGGTGTGTTATAAAAAGGTTACAGGCTCTAGAATAAACTGTTTATTCCTGTTCTTGGTTGTGGTGCTGGGTATCAAACATAGGGCTTTAGGTAGGTTAGATAAGTACTCTTCCCAGGCACACCATCTCTGTGTATTAATAGTGTGGCCTTGGGTAGGTTACTTGAACTCTCTGAGGTCCTTTATGTGCAAACCTTTTATTGTGAGGATGAATTAAAAATTTATGCAAAAGATTCAGCAGTGGTCCCAGTTCCACCTAGTAAATGTACATGCTGTTGTTACTGTTGCTACTCTTACCTTCCTCAAGGCATAGTGTCTATATATAAAACATGAACTAAGTAAGATGGTTGTGCACAGACAGCATCCTTGTAGTAATGGTAGACTTTTTCAAAAGTCGTCTTTAGTGAGATGGTAAGAATCTCTGTCTGACCCAACATTAACTGAAAAGGCTATTATTATTCTTATTACGAATGTAAATTAGCATACACTGTTATGAAGCTGTTTTTTTTCAGAGAAAGAATTATAAGGCTAAATTTAAAATGAAAGTCAAATGAAGAATGTTTTATAGCCTTTTCAGAGAGCATCATACAAGTAGATGACTTACTGAAAATGCTAGCATATAATGTTAAAAAAATAGGGTTTTCTGTATTTCTCACTCAATCTTCCAGTAAAATTTAACACAAACAAGATTTGTGATAAATTACGAGGTAGGCATCTGTAGCTTAATGAGCTGTTAATGTAGAAGTACAGCAAAACCAGGACATAAAACAGAAAAATGTGATCAAAAATCTTCAGTCACATTATTAGACGATAATGAAACAACTGCCTCACTAGTTGAGAGTTCTGAACAGATGGAAACATTACTAATTGTGTCGAAGATACTCAAACTATTGTGGAGTATATTCAAATGAATCATGTTAGTATATTAACTCCAAAAGTTAAAAGAGGCTCTGGGTGCTAGAGAGATGGTTTACCAGTTAAGAGAGCTTGTTGCTACACAACCATGAAGACTAGCATTCAGATTCTAGCACCTACGTAACAAGCCAGGTGTTCTGTTCTTGCTTCAAGAAGGAAGATTTCTGGGGCTTGCTGCCTTCCAGTCTAGCTGAAAAATGCAATCCTTGGGTTCAGTGAAAGACCCTGTCTCAAAGAAATAGATGGAAATTGATAAAGGAGGGCATTGACACCTTTTGGCCTCTGAGTATTCACAGGGTTGTGTACTAACACACACACACACACACCACACAAATAAATCTTAAATTCTTTACAGTATTAGGAGAGGAAAAGGTAGTATGGATCAAGCGGGCAGTACAAATTGCTGTGATTAGTAGGATGTAGTACACAAGTGGGAGCTATAACCTAATGTATTGATTTACTGTTCCTGAGCTGGACCAGCTGTGTGGTCAGGACAATAAAAGGATACTTAGGTGACTCATTAAATGGTTAATTTGTATTCCACTCACCACTTATTTATTACTGAAGGAAGGCATGTGCTGTATTTTAGAAAGTTTTATTTCAGTGTAACATGTTTAAATTGGTTTCCATGCTTAAAGTAGAAGTTTTAAAGCACTTTTAGCATATTATTTAGAAACAATTTCAAGCTTACAAAAATTATATGAATAAGAAAAGTCCTAATATGTGTTTCCATACTCCTCTTTGTGACATTTTCCTACCTATGCGTTTTTCTGTTTTTATTTTTTCCGAATCATTTGGGGGAAACTTTCTCCTTCCTCCCTACCCTGCCTGTATACTGGAGAACAAATCCAATACTTGTTCTTGCTAGGAAAATGCTCTACCACTGAGCTACATACCCAGCCCAGGCCTTCTTAACAATTCCAAAGTATATTTTCTAAGATTGGAAATAGGTTTTTACTTAACTGCATACCATAATAAGCTATAGTAAATTTAATATTGCTACTGTAATATACTGCCTGCTTTTTTGTCATTTAATCATAGAAATATTCATTATAGCAGCTCAGTCCTCTCTGCCCAGGATCCAGACTAGGGATTATCACATTTAGTTGGCATGACTTTTTAGACTTCTTTGATTGGGAACATTTTTATAATCTTTATTTCTTTTTTGCAGTATTGAAGGTTTTTTGTTTGTTGTTAAGGAATATACCTCCCTATTCAGAAATGGGAGTGTTGGCTCTTTTGATGTTTCTTTACTATTAGATTCAGGTTATAAATCCCAAGTGGGAATACTGACAAGTGTCGTCTTTTCTTAGGATGTCACTTGAGGAGATGCAAGCTGTCCACCTGTCCCTCATTACTGATATTAGAATGCCTTGGTCAACATGTTCTCTGGTTGCTACTATGTGATTTTTCTCTTACACTAATAAACAGTCTATTGGAAAACATCTTAAAGCATCTTAAAGTTCCCAATTTGTGAGTCAAGACCCCTGATGGGGGGTGGCCAAGCAATCCTTTTGCAGGGGTCACCTAAGACCATCAGAAACACATATTTACATTACGATTCATAACAGTAGCAAAATTACATTTATGAGGTAGCAGTGAAAATAATTTTATGGTTGGAGGTCACTACAACACGAGGAACTGTATTAAAGGGTCACAGCATTAGGAAGGTTGAGAACAAGGCCATACAAATATGTTGGTGTACCTCAAAATTTCCTCCTGGGGGATTTAGTATTCATGATCATTTTGCCTGATTTAATATTCATGATCGTTTTGCCTGATCCAGTTTTTATTATGATGACTCTAAAATGGTGGCTTTTTTTTTCTGATTCCAGTACTTACCTCCTCCAGTGAGGCAGTTCTCAGCATTTTGCTATAAATCATGTTCCTTTCTCTCTCTTTTATGTATTTGTCATTGCTATGAATGAAAAAAATTCCTGCTTTCCCTCTAATGATACATATGATTTCTTTCCCCCTCAATGTTGTGATGTAAAAGATTTGACTCTTGGTTCAATGATGATTTCAAGAGATCCAGTGACTACCCTGATGGTCACCTGGTGCATGCTAAGTTCTGTGTGTTTCCAGGGTTAGTGTCCACAAGATTTTTCTGAGCAGCTCTTGACTTGAGTGTATAGTTTCCACCTGATTTTGTGAAGGGTTGGCCTTTAAGCTACTTGGATGCTTGTTCTTTCCCTTGCTTTCTGCTCTGTGATGACTAGCTGAACTTCTAGATGTATAGTGTATCTACCTTTCTTACACATCCACAACTTTAGATAGTATTATATCTTGGTTCCTTTAACGTTGTTGCTGGAATATGTAATAAATGTTAATGTCTTCATTGCTACTGTAGCAGCAGTTTATGGTATATAGAACCAGTCTTGTGAAGCAACAAATTACCTTGATTTAATTTGAAATTTTAAAACCAATGTTTTTTACACTGTAGTTTTATTAGCTCTCTGGGAGTGAGCTACATGATGTTGTGCACTGAAAATTACCCAAATGTTCTGGCCTTCTCTTTCCTGGATGAGCTTCAGAAGGAGTTCATTACTACTTATAACATGATGAAGACAAATACTGCTGTCAGACCATACTGTTTCATTGAATTTGGTAAGGGCCTGGTTTTGTTTTGTTTTGTTCTTTTTTCTGTACTCTTTATTATCCTGTCTCCAGTCAAACAGTTTATCATCTACTATTAGGGAGTAGGGAAAAAAACTTCTGCAACCTTGATTTTGATAGAATAATTGACAAAAGATCTATAGTTCTTAATTTGGATGACTATTAGGAAAAATGTGTTTGAGCTCTGAAGGAGATTGTGATTATTAGTGCAAAGAACAAACCCCAGAGGACAGATTCTCAATGAGAAGTATATAAGCCATAGACTCCGTTTAGTGTTTATGTGCTAATCTTTTATAGTCTGCTTAATGTAAAACAGGGGTTGGCAAATACTTGCTGGAAAAGATCAGAGAGTACGTATTTCAGGTTTTAAGGGCCTTCTAGTCTCTGCCACAACTACTCAGCTCTGATATTGCAGCTTGAAAGCAGCCACAGACAATACATAAATGAATGAGAATAGTTATTGTCTAATAAAACTTTATTTACAAAAACAGCAGTTCAGATTTGGCCTATGGGCGGTAGTTTGCTCAACCAGAAAATCTGGTCAAATATGGATTTTTTACATAGAAAGAGGGAAAATATTAAAAATAAAATTCTGCTTGGAAGATATTTAGGAAATTTCTTTTATTGTTTCCACTAAACTTATTCTTCAGAACATACTATAGAATGGTGTAAAAAAATAAGAAAACAGATTTATAAAAATATTGCTTATAGTGTAATTTATATGTAATTACAGCTAATAACAGATTGAATATTTTATGAGATAAGGAAATAAAGATTAAGGCATTGGTTGACAATAAAAGTTGTATTCTTTTTGTTTCTGTAATTCCTTGAAGTCTATATTTAGTTATGGTAATGTCATTCTAGAGTTTAACATTTAGAGTGTAGAACTGTTGACTCCATTATATGGCGACCTGCTAAGTATGATATTGGAAATCCCTTCACAAATTGAATAGTTTTGAATAACAAACTTTATAAAATTTATACCCATAAACATCACACTCTCAAATGATTTAATTAACAAATGACTACAAGGAAATTTATTTTTTATTTTACATAGATAACTTCATTCAGAGGACCAAGCAGCGATATAATAATCCCAGGTCTCTTTCAACAAAAATAAATCTGTCTGACATGCAGATGGAAATCAAGCTGAGGCCCCCTTATCAAATCCCAATGTGTGAACTGGGATCGGCCAATGGAGTCACATCTGCATTTTCTGCTGACTGTAAAGGTGCTGGTAAGATTTCTTCTGGTGAGTTCTGGGTCTTAATTATTTTTATTAACTTAAAAAAATAACAGAGGAACTCTTGAAAATGAATTGTTTTATTCTAGTGTTTTAAATCAGTTACATGGAAGAATATGGAAGTTCAAAGCAACCCGTTTTCCTAGTTGTTATAAAATAGGCTACTAAAGATGTGACTATTCTTGGAATTACTTCCAAATGACAATCTCAGGAGGTTTCTTTGCTAAGAAAACATTTAATTTCCTTGTAAAATTTTTTTCTAGAAATTTTTGTAGGCCTGAAAAGTACGTTATACTATATCAATAGGCTATATTTCGTATTAAAGTCTTGACTATAAATAGCAGAAACTGCAAAAAATTGTGGTTATCTACTCAGATCTCCCCTCCCACAGAAAGTGCACAGGGCTTAACAGTTGGGCCAGGATGAAACTTTTTCTTAAAATGGAGGCCTCACTATTTCATAAAAGTATAGTATGCCATTGCTGGGCTACTTCTTAAAAATTTCCTTGTGGGTTAAGCCAATGTCTATTTCCATATTAATGCCTACTAGTATATCTAGGTTCTGTCACCTCCTCCAGCTGAAGCAGAAGGCAGTTCCATTCTTCCTATGTTTCTAGCATGATTTTTTCATGTAAAGCATCTTCAGTTTAAGACTCTTCTGTCATTTTGATGCCTTCCCTATAATTTGTTTTAGTTTGTTAGTATTCTTTAAATCTGATGTTTCACATATGGTTTGATTATGCAAATATGGGAGAAAGGGAAACTATTTCACTTAAATAATTCAGTCACTAAACTAGTAAATAAGGACAAGAAGTGAAATGGTATTAGAATTGCAAAAGGAATGGATAATTAATTCTATTTGTGTGTGACTTTTTCTGTAGAAAGTCCTAAGGCTATCTCTAGAAAACTATTAGAACAAGTGCAGGGTTTCAGAGAGACCACATGACACAACATCAGTGTCTAAGACCATTACACTGTACACCAGCAGTAAAAAAATGTGAAAATGATATGGGAATCCCATATATTGAAAAATCAGCAAAATAGTTTGAAAGAAGTTAAGACAAAAATTAATGGAAAGAGGATCCACATTTATGGACAATCTTATTAAGATGGCTGTCTTCCTGGAGACTCTCAGCTCTTGTTTATTAAATAGAAATTGACAAGTTGATTCTAAATTACATGTAGAAATGTAAGGAATATATATATGCAAAATAATCTTGGAAAAGCTGAAAGACTAAAACTTGCAAACGTACTTCTGAGCTACAATAACTCATATGGAGTGGTTCTACTTCAGGATAGTAGAATTGAGAGCACAGAAGTAAATCCTTTCAGTGTGGTCAGTTCATTCTTGACAGTGATTCTAAGACAGTGGTGGACGATCATTCAGTGTTGGAACAGCCAAGTATCCACATGTAAAAGAATGAAGTTAGATCTCTGCATAGCCATAAGCACAAAAATGAACTCAATTCAAAGCCCTAATTTTACCAGTTATATACTCAAAACTCTTTGTAGAAAACATGGAGTGCTAGGGCTGAAGAGACGACTCAGTGGTTAAGAGCACTGGCTGTTCCACCAAAGGACACAGGCTCAATTCCCAGCACCCGGATGGCAACTCACACCTGTCTGTAACTCCAGTTCCAGGGCTTCTAACACCCTTACACAGTCATACATGCAGGCAAAACATCAATGCACATAAGATAAAAATAAATTATATATGAAAAAATCACAGTTAAAAAATGCAAAGTATGCAAGATGGAATTTGTCAAATTAAAACTTACTCTTCCATGAACACAGAATGAAAAGGCAATCCACAGAAGGAGAGAAAATATTTACAAATCATATGTACATAAAAGATTAGTCCAAAATATTTAACTAATTTTTAATTCAATAGTAATGAAACAATCCAGTATACATAAACAGAAAAGATTTGAATATGCTTTTTTTTCTCCTCTTCTTCCTTCTCCTCCTCCCCCTTCTCCTCTTCTTCTTGGTACAAAACCAATCAAAGTGGGGCTGAGAGGTGGCTCAGCATTTAAGAGTACTGGCACACTTACAGAAGACCTGGTTCTGATTCCCAACAGCCATGGGGCGGCTCACAGACATTTGTAATTCTAGAATCCAGTGGATCTGATGCCCTTTTCTGACCTCCTTGGGAACTAGGCATGTAAATGACAAACATGCAGGCAAAACACCCACACACTTCAACTCCATTTAAAGTGGTATTCAAATTGCAAGGGAAGAAATAGATAAGTAATTCTATTTGTATCTATTTAATACACATTTGAAAGGCTCTAGCAGACTTATTTAAAAGACAGCCCCACAAAAGATACAGAATCTGAGCGAAGGACAGAGCATCCACACCTTTCTGTTGATGATTTAACTGCATTGTTCATATGACTGCAAATTGTTCTCTGGGAAATTTTTAGTTGTTAAGCAAATCTTTCATCTCTATGATAAATTCTGCATGGTCATGATATGTTGTGCTTTTTATATGCGATCAGGTCCAAATTTGCTAACATTTTGTTGATATTCTATGTGTCTTACTGAGGGAATTGATTTCTAGATTTTCTTTTTTGTTTGTGCTTAGTTTGACTATATGGACAAAGCCCACCTGAGAAAATACATTGGGAAGTGTTCTCACATTTATGTTTTTTGAAAGTGTGTCCTGTAGGACCCAGTGATGAAACCTCAAATCCTTTGTCTGGGGAGGATTTAAATCACTTTCTTCACCAGGGCTGGGGCTACTCAGCTTGTCTGCTTTATCCTAGTGAGCATTTGCAGCTTTTTTTTTTTTTAAAGGAATCTGTTCATTTTTTTCAGGTTACAGATTTTTGATGTATAATCCATAGTTCTTTATCCCTTTATTTTCCATAGAATTATAGTCATGCCAATCATGTCATCTTTCTTATTCCTGATATTGGTAAATTTTTTGCTATTTTCTCCTAAAATATAAAAATTAATTACTTTTATTGATTTCTTTAAAAAAGAATCAGCATTTTACTTTCATTGATGTTTTATTTTCTATTTTATTGACATGTTCTGCTTATTGCTTCCCATTTTCTGCTTACCTTGGGTTTCTGTTCTTTCTTTTTCTGAGATTTGGAGCAATTTATTTGAGGTCTTCTTTTCTAATCCAAGCCCTTGCTGCTACTTATCTCATTCTCAGTATTACTTTAGCTACATCCTAAATATTTTAACATCACATTTTTATTTTCCTTTTGGCTTCTCTTTTGATTCCTGAATTATTTAGAAATGTACTGTGTAGTTTTACTTAGGCATTTTCATGTGTCTATTGAGTTTTAATTTAATTCCATTGTGTTCAGAGGGCAAACTTTACTTGACTGACATACTTTAAAATTTATTGAGATATGATTTATTCCTAAGAAAATAGTCTGTGTTACTCATTCTTTCTGCTTAAAGTGCACGCTCAATTGTTAGTGGTATATTCTGCAAGTGTTACTTAGATCAAGATGGCTGATATTGTTGAAGTCTGTTGTGTATTTTCTGATTTGCTGTCTGCTTCAACCATCCTATGAGAAATGGGTATTGTATATCTTTCTCATTTTAGGATAACCAGTTTTCGTATTTTGTATTTTTTAAGATTTATTACTTTATCATGTGTATGAGTATTTTGCCTGTATGTGTGTCTGTGCACCATGTGCATACTTGTTACCCACAGAGGAGAGCATTGGATCCCCAAGAATTGGAGTTATATGAATGGTTGTGAACCTCCATGTGAGTGCTGGGACCTGAACCTGCCATACTTTGCAAGAACAACAAGTGCTCTTAACTACTAAGCCATCTCTCCAATCCCCTGTATTATGTATTTTCAGCTTGTGATTTGATGTATTGGTTCCTTTATCATTTTGAAATTCTTTGCACCTACGAATATATTATACTTTGAAATCTTTTTTAAAATATATTTTTTATTTAAATTAGAAACAAGCTTGCTTCACGTGTCAATCCCAGCTCCCTCTTCCTCCCCTCCTCCCTTGCCCCTCCACCAGCCATCCAGCCCCCCCACCCAATCCCCACACTGTTCCCCAGGGAGGGTGAGGCCCTCCATGGGGGATCTCTAGAGTCTGTCATTTCATCCAGGGCAGGGCTTAGGCCCTCCCTCATGTGTCCAGGCTGAGAGAGCATTCCTCCATGTGGAATGGGCTCCCAAAGTTCATTCATATGCCATGGTAAATATTTATCTACTACCCAAGGCCCCAGAGATTGCTGAGGCCTCCTCACTGACACCACATTCAGGTGGTCTGGAGCAGTCCCCTGCTGGCCTCTCAGCCATCAGTCTGGGGTTCAAGAGCTCCCCCCTTGACAGGTTAGCTGTCTCTGTGGATTTCACCAGCATGGTCTTGATCCCTTTGCTCATCACTCCTCCCTCTCTGTCACTGGGTTCCAGGAGTTCAGTTCAGTATTTAGCTGTGGGTATCTGTCTCTGTTTTCATCAGTCACTGGATGAAGGTTTGGCAGTGGGATTGAAATCTTTATAATACAGATACTACATTAAAAATTTGTATCAATATTCCATCTGTTGTCCTTTTTCTTCTTTGTGTCCTCATGTTTAAGTGGTGTTTTAATGTCCGTTTAGTGGAAGCCCTAAAGGTCTAGTGAGGAGCAATCAGGTACTTGAAGGGAATTAGAATCTCTGACTTGTATTTGAAGCAGCCTGCACCCAGCAGGATATCCATCACCGTGGTGCAGCCATCATTTTCTACAGTGACTGGTGGCATGTACATTGCTCTTTGTTTTGACATTTGTTGTGCTCCCCCTTTTATTGTTTATTAAATAATTGATAAATTTGAGAAGCACATTTTCAGGAAACGCTATACTGTTAGTTTTCTTTCTACCTATGTACTTACCCCGTAGCCTCTGGTCTACCTGGATGAGAGCATCCTGAAGGCCACTGGAATACCTGGGAGTTGGGTTTATAAATGTCACAGAGAAGAAATACCTTAATAATGTCTACTTTTAAAACTGGTCTTGTGGGTTAACAAGCCAGCCTGG